TTTTTTTTGAAAAAAGCAAATGACTATCACACTTTATTATATTTATTATACTTTTACTTGCAAAGCAAGGTACAATACTCAATAGCACAATATATGTCTCTCTTTGCTAAGAAGAGTTTAACGCAAGGCTCTCATATGGAGCCAGACCCCTGTGCTTTTTTAGCACCATTCAAGAAATACAGACAAAAAAAAATTCAAAAATCTATATTATGTTTATAAATGGTATCTAGTTATCTAGAAGTAAATAAATACCTAATCACATAAAGGTGCTGCAGCCAATCTATACAGGTTGGCTTCCAAGTTATAATTAGGATTGGCATGCCTGCTTTCCAAATATGACTTGATGTATAGCAAGCAGAGTAGTGTTGGAGATGGTGGGAAATGAATACTTTTTTGCATGAAGGCACTATAGCCACTTTATACAAGTTTGCCTCCAAGTCACAAAAAGGATTTGATACACCCATGCTTCAAGTGTGGTGGAAATGTCCTATGGGTGGAGTTCATATTGGTTTTCTTAGTAGTGTCAGAACCTAACCTTATACAATAGACCTACATTGTTGAAGGGATAAGCAAGAAACTTTTATTGTCATCACCAGCTTGTGTTGCGAGGATAACTAGAATCCCTGGTCGGCACGTATTACCTTACTAAGTTTCTCAATTACTAGCATGACACTTGCAATTAACCTAGCTTATTGCTAGTTGTATTGGCATTGGCATTGGCTATCATTTCACTTTGGATATTGTGGGGCGCAACTTCTTGGGTACTTTTGGATAATAATAGTTATACAAAGATTTCTTGGACATATCTAGTCTAACTGTCGATCAGTAAACAATGTCAGGTTTGGTAATAATGGTCATGTCAATCTTTTGGAGGGAAAGCCATCTGTTCTTTTTCTGAGAAATCATGGAAGAAAGAAAAAATTCTAAAGTCCATATCTTGAGAAAGGTTACCACTTTTTAATATGGTTCTTGAATAAAAGAAGTCAACTGGCCAGAGGAGTGATGTTATGAAAACAAAGTTTTCAAAAGAAAGAGAGACCTAGAGAGGAAAACCTTCAGAAAAAAGGAAAAAACCTAACTTCGGTAGGGGAAGAAAAGGAAAAAGAGAAAGGAAAGGATAAAAAATAAAAAAGAGTATATAGAAGAGAGAAGAGAGAATAGGAAGAGAGAAATAAAGAAGTAGGAAAGGGAATATAGGAAGGGGAAAAGGGAAAATGAAGAAAAAGAGCAAACAATTCAAAAAATTCCTAAAAAGGAAATTTTCAAGTGCAGAAAAGGAAGTGGGAAAGAATTTTTTTTATTATTTTTTTGTCAAATATTATATATTTTTTTGTTGAATTATTATATATTTTTTAAGTATCAAATAATATAAATTGAATCAAACAATAAAACTTTGATGTAAACTTTTATTAATAAATTTAAATTTTAATCGATTATAATTTGTAACTAAATAATCTATTTAAATCAATATTATATAAGATAGTAAATAATGATTATTTGTATTGTGTTATAATTCATAACTTGATAAGATTTTTTAAACTTTTGATTTTCTTAGGTTGTATTTTAATTATATAGAATAAATAAAAATAAAATAAAAGTTTTAATAAATATTATAATACAGTATTTTCTATAATTAAATTTTGTTTAATTATAATAAATAGTAATAATAATATTTTACTTAAATTATAGAGCAAATAGTTAATTTTAGTTAAAGGTTTTTTAAATCAATTAAGATCAATAATAAAATATAAAAAATATGAGTAATTATATATATATATATAGAAGATAAAATTAGTATATAAATAGGTTTTAAATTTTTTTAATATATATATACAAATTATTAATCTATAGATTTTAAAGATTTCTTGCAATACATAGATAATATATATTATATCAAATTATACTTACTTTTTTTTATAAAGTTTTTTATATTTATTAAGAGATTAAAAGATTATTTATTAAGTTTTTTGTATTTAATAAGGTTTAACCAATTAATAATTTTTTTATAACATATTTTTTCTTGTACAGTTAGAAGAATAATATAAGGTTTAAGCTTTAATTTAAAATTGCAATAAGTTATGCAATAGAAACTAGTATTGTATTATATCTAATCAATAATAGTAACTTCAATAAGTAATTATTGGTCAAATTTATAAATATGTATATTTTTATAATATTTTTTATAAATATTTTCAAAAAGCCAAATATTAGTAAGCTAAAAAAAATAAATAAATAACAACTATTTTATAACTTTTTTATATAATAATAAATTTCAAATTTTAAAAAATTTTTTTTTTAGAATTTTAAAACCTTTAATATTTGAAATTGATAAAAAATTAAATGTAAAAATAATAAATTTAAATAAAATCAATCATATATAATTCTATTAATATTAAGAAAATAATATTTTTATTTTAAAGTACTAATAAATTTATTTTAATTAATATTAATATTAATTTAATAAAAAAAAATTTTTTTTATAATATAATTTTTTACAAATGAAAAAAATTGGCAATTTTTATTGCTAGCATTGTACCATGTTTTCAAAATAAAAGTTAGAAAAATATTTATTGAATATTTACCTTGACATAAGCTTCCTACTATCTAAGACATCAAAATATAAAGAATTAATTATTTTAAATTGTAGTTAACTTAAAGCAGTAGGCATATTGTAGCTCACCATCAACGTCACAATAATATTACTTGACTTTCAAATTCATTATTAGTTTCTTTGACATAAAATTATTAAACCACAAACTATATGTATTATGTTTTATTACGTCAGTAAATTCTTTAACGTGATTATGTATGTACTTTGCTTACAAACCTTTGTTTTTTATGGCACGTGTAGTATGTCGCCTCACAAAACAAGAACGAAGAGAAATAGATAAAACCAATTTATTTTTAATATTAAATATAAAGCACGGACATAAGAATGTGCCTTATCTGTTAGTAATTAATAAATTCTCAAATATTCATTAAAAGCAAAATATAATTTTTCTTAATATTTTAAAACTTACATTATTTTATTAAATGACTAAATAAATTTATTCTTAATATTTTTTAAGACTTATTTTTTTATTAATCGTAATACTGTATAAGTAGTAAAAAAATTCAAGTTTATTTATATGCAATAATATTTATAATAAAAATAAAGAAGATTATAATTGTTATTAAATTCAATAAAGTATTTAATTAAATTCAAATGGTTTTCTTAAAGAACAAGTCTAAGTTTTTCTTCTGTCAATATACAGTATGATACAGTATGCGGTATATAGTTATATTTGGGATTATATTTGTTTTTAATAATTTTTAGTTATATTGATGATTTTTTTCAATAACACATTCGCTCGAGTTTGCATTCTTCGTAACAATGTTTGGACCTGGTGCATACAGTATATAAAAGAGATAAATAATCTTTCTGATTATTTGTTATGATCCATGGACATATTCAATACACTATTATTTTCGAAATTTGCATGATGAAATCACCGTTCTCGTTATTTTATCGGTTCATTTCTTTTTATAGTAAAAATTCTGGCGCTGTGTCTTACAAAGAACTTTTCATTTGTTAAGTAAAATCGAGAAAATCCATCCGATTATCACACTAGCTAAACTTTCTATTAACTGAAGAACCATTTCACAATCAAAGATAATAAGGTGTATGCACCATCTACTGAAATCCATCGCGCATCGCCTAGATGCATTCGTATCACATTCTTGTGTTAGTAAGTTAAAATTTTGGTATATAACCGGTAAATTATAGACAGATAAACTTTGTTCGAATTTGGATTATTATTCGGGTGATTATACGTTTTACTGTAGTTTGTGGTAACAATGTTCTGTGCTTATAAACAACAAAACTTTTCTTTAATCAAATAATATTTTCTTTTTCTTAAAAAAATCTATTCTAAAGAAAAATGCTAAAATTAAATTTATTTACTTCGGGTTTCGACTGGATTTCCATAACTTTGATATTTCTATTCCTTTATGTATCAAAATATTATTATAATTATTGTAAACGTGAAAATCCTCTACCGGGGCCACTTCCACTTCCAATTATTGGAAACCTTCATCAAGCAATATTTCATAAGATAGGCGATATTGATTTTGGAACATGGTCTTTTCATCTTCGCGAAAAATATGGGGAAACATTTGAAGTTTATTTAGGGTCGTTACGCACTGTAGTCACAGGCGATCCTGAATCTTTAGATAAAATTTATAACCCATCTTTAAAAAATAGATTTTTTGTTCGCCCGAAAGTGAATGGGCTTTCTGAGTTAGAGATGAATGATGGTCTTATATTTAACAATGATAAAAAATCCTGGAGCCGAAATCGAAAATTCGTTTCACAAACTTTGCAGTCGCCAAAATTCTTGCGTGAGTTTGCCGGCATCACACAAGATTTATTTGATAAAGTTGAATGTAATTGGACATCTGGAGTGGTAATTGACTTTGCTACTTGGATTAGATGTTTTATGACCGATATCTTATCTTCGACTCTAACTGGGAGTCCAGCTGTGTGTCCATTGTCATGTAGCATATCGAAATCTGAATATACACCAGAGATGAAAAAGTCATATGAATTCCTTGAAAGTCTGAAAACATGGTTCAATTCCCTTCCATTCTTTGTAGCTATACCTCGATATCTACGATATAACCTTCCTATATTAAGTTCAATAAACAGACATTATCTTAATAATGCGAAACGCTTAGAAGACGAGATTCTAGAGAAAGTTATAAAACGTCGTGAACAATTAGAAAGCCTTCCCGGGGGTCAAGCGGTCGGAGACGGATTACTGGATATGCTATTGACTATGAATATAAGAGACCATAATGAACCTGCCGAAGATGATGAACCAATGAAAGATGAAGAAATACGCGACAATGTTATGGATATCTCACTTACTAGTTCAGACTCGGTATTTATACAATATGTCAAAATAAATGTATGTCCTTCATTAATATTAATACATGTATGTGATTTTATTTCTCAACAGACTGGGAATTCCTTCTGTTATTTCATATATCACATCTTCCATAATCCTCTATGCAAAGAACGTTTATTAGAAGAAATTGATTCTATTTTTGCTAACGATATGACGCGTCCTGTTACATCTAATGACCTAGAAAAACTTGTCTATATGGAAGCAGCAATTAAAGAAACCTTACGTATGTTTCCAGTTACTCCTCTAGTTCCGCGATCACTCACAAATCCAGAAACCCTATTAGGATATAATTGGCCGGCTGGGCAACTATTTTTTATATCCCAATATAGTCTAATGCATAATAAAAACGTTTGGGAAGAACCCCACAAGTTTAACCCGGACCGATTTCTCAAAGATACAGAAAAAATCCAGAAAAAATTTTTTGTTCCTTTTGGTGGTGGATGTAGGATTTGCCCCGGAAGGTAAATATTTCTTTCTTTCTTTTCTCGCAAAGGTTATTAATAAACTAACTTTCTAACATTTTATAGAAATTTAGTAATGGTGAAACTTAAAGTTTTACTTACCTTATTATATAGAAAATATGATATTGAATTAATTGACAAGAGCGCACCTATAAATTATACCTACGCGTTCATTTTTCAATGCAAAAAACTTCTAGTGAAATTAAATAAAAGAAAAGAAATTTGAAAAAAGTAATACAGATTAACCTTTTGCTCAGTGACCAGATCTAAAGTATTTCATCAACAGACACTGTTACAATATGCGGAATTATGTTGCATCATAACAATTTACGACTTGGTATGGCTTTTTAGACTTTTGAAATCTCTCATGTTGTAATTGAGTCATATAGAATAACTGATAACAGAAAGACAAATAATTATCTCGAACTAGCAAAATTGCCCTTTTATCACTAACAGTTTTCTTCTGAGAAGAGATGTTTTAAACCAAACATTATTTGTGTCATTTTTATTTTAATATCGATAATATTTCTGAAAATATAAGTATTATATTGAATGAAAAAACATATTTGATTTAAAAAATATGTATAAATTAAATTAAAAAATATCATTAATATTATTTGTATTATATATCATGAAATATTATATCTTGGGATTAACATAACTATACTTAATGTGGCTTTCGTTAAAATCTAATTATCTTACTTTTACTCATTAATTTCCTTTATAAATAAGTTTAGCTTTGCATACTTGATCAATATAATGTTAAAATATTAAAAAGTATAAAACATTTAAAAATTATATAAGGTTTCATTTAAACTATTAACAAGTAAACAATTAAAAAGAATACCAAATAACAAAATATCTAATAAAATATATTATATTTTATAACAAATATAAAAATTTTATTTATTTGAAATCAATAAAGAATAAATAAATGAAAATCATAATAAACAATATAAAAATTTTAAATAAAAAATTATAATTATAAATTAAAAAAATATATTAAATTAAAATTTAATAAAAATATAAAAACCTTATATTTAATTTAATATATAAATAAATTTTGACTTTATAAATATATAATATTAAAAATAAACAATGAATATATTACTGATTTTTCAAATCAACAATATAAACATTTTTAATATGTGATTTAGTATTTTTATTTACAAAGAAGAACTCTAGGAAAAGAATATGGTTATTTAATAAGAAATGTATATCAGTAAGAAATGAAAATGGAAAAAACCCCAAGAAAAATTTATAAAGAAATAATTGCTACAAGTCTTTTCTTATACAATTCAAAAAAAAGCAAGATCTTCAAACTTGCTTTTTTTTAGTCAAGAGTTCCATTCCAATATACTAGTATACTTTTTTAATTTTCTTAAGGTTCTTGTAATAAAAATAAAAAATATATGAAGAACTTTGGGATGTTAAAAGGTGAAAAAAATATTTGTTTCTTTAATTTTAAAAAATAATTACTATAAAAAAATTTTTTTAAAAAAAATATTATATATAAAAAAAAGTTTTTTCCACTAGTTTTATTTTCATCCTACTAGATTTTTATGTACTAAATTAGTTTTTTTCTTAAATAATAAAGCAAAATTAACTACTTTTTATTATTTATTATTTATTTTTTTGGTTTTAGCTTCTGAGTATTTTTTATATTATATAATATAATATTCTTTTGATATTAAATAAAATAGAATTATTATTATTTATAGCAATAAATTTTTAAATATAAAAAATTATTTTTTTATTTATTAACAAATAATAAAATTTTTTACATACAAGAAATTATAAATCTAAAAAAAAAATACTCTTTTTAATTATATTTGAAAATTCTAAGTTGTTTATTTTTTTTTGATCTTTTTTCTTTATTTTTTTTTTATTTTTTTTTTTTTCAAAATGTTTTTAATGCGAGACATTTATTTAACTTTCGTTT